GTTTGCATAATTTGTTAGCAATTGTATTTACTTGGTGAATGTATTGTTAGGTTAGCTCTTAATCTTATGTGATGTATATTGGCTCGGTTAGGCTGCAGTTTTGCATGGCCTCCCTTGGTACCCAGGCTGGGTTTTCCCTTTTGTACATTTTCATTTTATGGTTTATGATTTGAGATAATTATGTCGTTGGAAAAAAAAAATTGATTTTGCAAGCTTTTTAGGAAAAAAAAGATATGAGAATCAAGATTGATGCTTTTTGAGCAGGAGGATCAATATTTATGGAGTATGTTATATGTCATGTGAAGATATCTAAATGCACTTTTACTGATAACTTATAGTTTTGCATTGAAGTTTTGCTGCTCACAAAGAGGATCCTTTATGAAGGTTTGGCTACTTCTGATATTTTGGCAAAGTGAAATTGATTTTTCAAACTTTTTAGGGGAAAAATAGATCCGAGAATCAAGATTGATGCTTTTTGAGCAGGAGGATCAGTATTTAAGGAGTATGTTATACGTCTTGTGAAGATATCTAAATGCACTTTTACTGATAACTTACAGCTGTGCATTGAAGTTTTACTGCTCACAAAAAGGTTAGCTTTATAGGCTTGGCTACTACTGATAGTTTTGGCAAAGTGAAATTGATTTTGCAATGAAAGTAGCAAAGTGAAATTGATTTTGTGAACTTTTTAGGGGAAAAAAAAAAGATATGAGAATCAAGACTGATTTTTTGAGCAGGACATTTAGCATTTATGAAGTATGTTATACGTCATGTGAAGATATCTAAATGCACTTTTACTGATAACTTACAGTTGTGCATTGAAGTTTGCTGCTCACAAAGAGGTCGCCTTTATGAAGGTTTGGCTACTATTGATATTTTTGGCAAAGTGAAATTGATTTTGCAAGCTTTTTAGGGGAAAAAAAAGATATGAGAATCAAGATTGATGCTTTTTGAGCAGGAGGATCAATATTTTAGAGTATGTTATACGTCTTGTGAAGATATCTAAATGAACTTTTACTGATAACTTACAGCTGTGCATTGAAGTTTTGTTGTGCCTTTATGAAGGTTTGCCTACTACTAATATTTTTGGCAAAGTAAAACTGATTTTGCAATGAAAGTGGCAAAGTAAAATTGATTTTGCAAACTTTTTAGGGGAAAAAAGATCTGAGAATCAAGATTGATGTTTTTTTTAGCCATAAGATCAGTATTTATGGAGTATGTTATACGTCTTGTGAAGATATCTAAATGCACTATTGCACTTTACTGATAAGTTACAGTTGTGCATTGAAGGTTTGCTGCTCACAAAGAGGTTGCCTTTTTGAAGGTTTGACTACTACTAATATTTTTGGCAAAGTGAAATTGATTTTTGCAATCAAAGTGGCAAAGGTGACGATAAGATTTCAGCGATTCTATTTATTCTCATGTGCTTTGAATCTAAATAAAGAATGTATCTTTAATTATTTTTTATAGTCTATCTTTTTTTTTTTATGTAAGTTATAAATTATGATAACCAAATAACGAATGAATCTGTGATTATTCTTTTTACATAGAAAAAGGAGGTGCACTTATGTATGGATGGAAATGTAAATATCAAAATTCAAAAGCTTATTACTTTTCCTATAAGCCTTTTTTTTTTTTTTTTTT